TATATCCAGAATATCTCACTATTTAATACATATCATTGCAATAATTAAATAATTTGACTTTTCTGCAGGTGCGCGATGTAAAAAGCGATCGACTGTTTATTTTGGCTGAGTCGCGATTGTCTTATGTGTATAAGACGGAGGCGGAATACGAGCTGAAGGAGAAGTTTGCCGGGCAAACCCTTAAGGATTTGCACTACAAGCCGGCGTTCCCCTATTTTGCCAAACGTGGCGTTGAGGTAAAGGCCCACCGTGTGTTGGTGGATGAGTATGTTACGGAGGACTCTGGCACGGGTATAGTCCATAACGCGCCCTACTTTGGCGAGGACGATTATCGCGTCTGCCTGGCGGCGGGCATTATCAGTAAGTCAAGCGATGTGATTTGTCCTGTGGATGAAGCCGGCCGGTTCACTGCAGAGGTGACTGACTTTGTGGGCCAGTATGTTAAGGATGCGGACAAGCACATAATAGCCAGCTTAAAGGCGAACGGAAATTTGGTTTCGACCGGCCAGGTGAAACATAGCTACCCCTTCTGCTGGCGTTCAGATACTCCGCTGATCTACAAGGCGGTGCCATCGTGGTTTGTGCGCGTCGAACATATGTCCAAAAACTTGTTGGCCTGCAGCGGTCAGACTTACTGGGTACCGGACTTTGTTAAGGAGAAGCGTTTCGGCAACTGGCTAAAGGAGGCCAGAGATTGGGCTGTAAGTATACCCTTTGTTGTGCTGAGTATTGTTTAGCTTATGTGATTAAAATTTAATATCTTTATAGATTTCCCGTAATCGGTATTGGGGTACTCCTATACCAATCTGGCGCTCTCCAAATGGTGATGAAACAATTGTCATTGGCAGCATTAAACAATTGGCCGAGCTTTCAGGCGTGCAAGTGAATGATCTGCATCGCGAGACTATTGATGACATTGAAATCCCATCAGCGGTTCCCGGAAATCCGCCGCTGCGACGAATTGCGCCTGTTTTTGACTGCTGGTTCGAGTCCGGTTCAATGCCTTTCGCCCAGCAACATTTTCCCTTCGAGAACGAAAAAGATTTTATGAATAACTTTCCAGCGGATTTCATTGCCGAGGGTATTGACCAGACACGCGGCTGGTTTTATACGCTTCTGGTAATCTCAACGGCATTATTTAATAAGGCTCCGTTTAAGAACCTTATTGCCAGTGGATTGGTGCTGGCCGCCGATGGGCAGAAAATGTCCAAGCGCAAGAAAAATTACCCGGATCCCATGGAGGTGGTTCACAAGTACGGCGCGGATGCTCTGCGTCTGTATCTCATCAACTCGCCAGTTGTGCGCGCAGAAAGCCTGCGTTTTAAGGAGGAAGGCGTGCGTGATATAATTAAGGATGTATTCCTGCCATGGTACAACGCCTACCGCTTCCTGCTCCAAAACATTGTGCGTTACGAAAAAGAGGAGCTGCACGGCAAGGCCCAGTACACCTATGAGCGTTCAAGGCATCTGAAAAACATGGAGCATGCCTCAGTCATTGACGTGTGGATCCTGTCGTTTAAGGAGTCCCTTTTAGAGTTCTTTGCAACAGAGATGAAAATGTACCGCCTTTATACGGTGGTGCCCAAACTAACCAAGTTTATTGACCAGCTGACCAACTGGTAAGACAAATTAACTTATTTTCTAGATCATGATTGCAGTTTTGTGTCCAATTTCTTTTAGGTACGTGAGGTTGAATCGTCGCCGCATTAAGGGCGAGCTGAGCGCCCAGCAATGCATACAATCGTTAGATACTCTTTATGATGTGCTGTACACTATGGTTAAGATGATGGCGCCCTTCACTCCGTATTTATCCGAGTACATTTTCCAGCGTCTGGTGCTCTTTCAGCCTCCAGGCAGCTTGGAGCATGCCGATTCTGTGCACTATCAAATGATGCCTGTGAGCCAGAAGAAATTTATTCGCAGCGACATCGAGCGGTCCGTGGCATTAATGCAGTCAGTGGTAGAGCTAGGTCGCGTTATGCGCGACCGTCGCACGCTGCCCGTCAAGTATCCCATTTCGGAAATCATTGTTATTCACAAGGACAAACAAACTCTGGCTGAAATTGAAACCTTGCAAGATTTCATACTAAGCGAGCTCAATGTACGCAAGCTGACTCTAAGCTCGGACAAGGAAAAGTACGGAGTAACTCTGCGTGCGGAACCTGACCATAAGGTGAGCATTTGATGCTAAAATACGAATTTTTAATTCTTACTGATCAATAACCTTTGACGGACATAGACTCTGGGCCAGCGCCTGAAGGGCAATTTTAAGGCTGTAATGGCCGCCATCAAAGGGCTCAAAGATGACGAGATTCAGAAGCATGTAGCCCAGGGCTATTTTGGCATATTGGATCAACGAATTGAGCTGGAGGAGGTGCGCATCATTTACTGTACTTCCGACAAGGTTGGCGGAAACTTTGAGGCACACAGCGATAATGAGGTTCTGGTCCTAATGGATATGACGCCCAACGAGGAACTACTCGAAGAAGGCTTGGCACGCGAAGCAATTAACCGTGTGCAAAAGCTAAAGAAGAAGGCGCAGCTGATACCTACGGACCCGGTTATCATTTACTATGATTTAAAGAGTACTGATGCGAAAAAGGAAGCACAGGAATCGCTGGCACAACTGCAGAGGGTTTTGGTCAACTATGCGCCCATGATAAAGGGGGCCGTCAAGTCCGAGTTTCTTCCATTTGACCAAAAGCAGGCCGCTTCAAAGCGCCTTGTCATCAGTGAGCTAGTGGACCTTAAAGGTGTTCAGCTTAATTTGACAATTTGTTCTGCTGAGGAGCTGCAGCTGCCCAATCTCGCGTGGCTGAATGTAACCCTTGATGGCGAGCTACAACCACGATTCGCTAACAGCAACAAGGGCTCTATCCTACTGCAGGATAGTAGCAGCAAGCAGTACATCACCTTGGCCGCATTGCGTCGCGAACTAGATGTGCTTTTCGGTCTCTACGGCGTCAGTTACACTATTTATGTGATGGATCAGCAGAAGAAATTAAGCTATCTTCAGGCAATCGATAAGAGTCTGAACGGCAAGCTACTTGTATTGACTCGCAGCACGAATGGACTTAGTCAGGCACTGGACTTCGAGGTCCTCCCGGTGCCGTATTCTAATTTTGTTAATCAGCCGCCTGGAAACACAATATTTACTGAGAACCCTAAGGGTCACAGCCTATTGTAGGCGTTGAATTTCTAAAATATGTCAAAAATGTCGGTTGTTGATTGGTATTTATTGTATGCCGAATCGGTACAAGAAATAAACTTTTTGAAAAAGTTGCAGTTGAGCTTCATTACAGACTTCATTTTAGTGACAAGCTGATGCTGTTGCCAGTCAGCTGTGCAACACGATTTTCACAGTATTAAATCAAACAATCATAAAAAATATTTTGTTAATGGGATTTGCAACCTTAATGCAAACGGATATTGTATAAAAACAATATACTCTTCTTTCTATAGATTTGTGGAAAGTAATTAAGGCTATCGCCTTAAAACTTTGCATAGATGCGTCTTTCCATTGCACGCAGTAACCGAAACCGGCCGGATCGCATAAGCATATCCATTGCATACGTTTATATACTGTTTTAGGCAAGGTATAGATACCTGGCCGTTAGCAAATATTAATATATATATATCAAAACATTTTTATCAATAGAATCAAATTCCACGCAAATAAATCTTACCATATAAAAAATCATTTACATAAAATTGATTTTTTTTTTTAAATTTTTCGTTTTATTCGTTATGTTATTAAATAAATATGAGTGTATAATATATGCCAGCTTGTCATAAATGAGTGATACGTGATTGATTTTTGCGTTGCATCTCAATAGTCAATAAATAGTTCAATAATGTGAATGATTATAAACAAAAACACTAGTAAAGTGACGAGTTAAGGCAGATAATAGATTTTGGTTTTAAAAAATTAAATCAAATGGAATTCGTGAAAGTAAGTATTTTGTTTGATAACGGTAGGTGATCAAAGTGTTTTGATTTTTGGCTCACACTTAATTATATGCGTTTGAGTAAATTCAAGCACTTGCTTTATGAGTCAAATGACACGACTACTTACGATTTACGTATGCCTAAAACCAAAACAATGTATTCCGGCACAGCCAGAGTGGCATGAGTGGCCAGGTCTCTATTGTAGAATCTGGTGGCGGTCAAATTTAACATATACGTATCCGTCGGGTTTTATGTGATCGTCAATGATGTGTAGGTGTTGTCTATTGGCGACACAGCGAGTCCAATGCGCCAGCCCAAGTGCATTTCTCCCAGCTTTATTTTGGTCTCACACGAAATGGGCTTCCAGTGCGACTTGTGCATGTGGTCGCCGATGGGAATGGAAATAAGTCATTCTACGTCGATATTGGGAAAACGCTTAAAGGCGAATTTGATTGAGTCCTTCTTTATGTGTATATTCGTGTAAGTATTCCGATGCCACGATCATTTAAAATAATGTACTTCTTAGCAATTTTTTGCTAAATGCAAAAAGTTTGCTAGCCATGGATTTCGACTCAGACGTAGATTATATAATAAAAACAGGTAATTAACTTTTATAAGGAACGACAAACACGCCAACTAATGCCGGCGCACGTATTTTTAAAGTGAAATATCTAAATACACACTATTATTTCAATTTCTTACCCTTAATTTTGCTAATAGAACGTAACTATAATGAATATGCACTTTTAGACAGTGTGACCAAAATATTTTAACTAAAATATACCGATTTTTCAAAAATACCAACGTTTAGGCAGTGTGACCAAATCATGAAAACAATAATAGTCCGGTTTTCCAAAATACCAAAGTTTCGACAGTGTGACCGAATACGATATATCAACAAAATACTAATACACTATTGCAAGTTTTCATGGAATTATTTTATCGATAGTACGGTGTTACCCAGCTCATTTGATAGGGCTGCATTCGATATGCACATGTTGTCATCATATAAATCTCGGACTTTTGGCTTTTATACATATATTCCATAATGGGTCCTACTTTGGCGAGGATGACTGGCGGCGGGTAATACCAGTAAGTCTAGTGTTGTGATTTGTCCTGCGGACAGAGGTGGCCGGCATACTGCGGAGGTCACTGGCTGCGGGCCAATATGTTAAGAAGATGGAGATGCACCTAATAGCCAGCTACTTAAAGGCGAACGGAAATTTGGTTTCGAGCGGCCAGGTTAAGCATAGCTACCTCTTTTGTTGGCTCTCACACAATCCGCTGATCTGCAAGGCGGTGCCGTCGTGGCTTGCGTCCGTCGAACATTTGTCCAAAAACTTATTGTCCTGCAGAGCTCAGACTTACTGGGGCCCGAATAAGGTGAGTACCTTTTAGAGTTATTTGCAAAAGAAAATGCATGAAAATTTACTGTCTTTATACGGTAGTGCCTGGACAGACCAAGTTTGGTCGAGATATACAGCGATAATGAGATATTGGTCCAAGTGGTTATGACGCCCAACGAGGAACTACTCCTGTGCAAAAGCTAAAGAAGGCGCAGCTTATAATTCGGGATAGTAGCAGCAAGCAGTATGTCATATGGTCGGAATTGCGACACGACCTGGATGTGCTTTACGGTCTCTACGGCTTCAATTACACCATTTATGTGGTGGATCAGCGAAAGAAAGTAAGCGATCTTCAGGTAATTAATAAGTTTGAACGGCAAGCTATTTGTTTTGACTGGCAGCACGAATGTACTTAGTCAGGGACTGGAATTGAATGCATTTCGATTCCTTTCGATGCCATGTTCTAATTTTGCTAACCGTCTGGAACCCAATATTTACTGAGAACCCCAAAGGGTCACAGCCTATTGTAGGTGTTGAATTTCTAAGTTATGTCAAAAATGTCGGTGCTTAATCGATATTTATTTTAAGCCCCATCGGTAAATGATTTCGTCTTTTTGAAAAAGTTTTAATTACAGTCTTCATATCTATGATAATCTGATGTTGTTGCCAACAATGATAGGTAGAGCTGCTTTTCTAAAAACGATTCTGTTTTTTTGGCCATAACTCGGACAAATTCTTGAATATCTGGCAGGAACACATCTTGTTGAATTCACAGGATTCAGGACCATCGATTGACATTTAATACGGTGTTATTTGCTAATTAGAATGCTTTCTGTGTGTTTGCAGTTCTGTAGCTGTGTGGATATAGAGAACGGTTGCACATTACGAAACCCAAGTGCCTGGAGAGCAGGGGGACAAATACCTTTAACGTAGACTGTAATAGCGCCACATCAGGTTGCTCGCTGTGATACAAAGTAAGAGCAGCAGCTTAATGTGATTCTGTTCATATTAAATTTATTCCATTATTTCAGGTGATTTTGGGACAACAGATTTACATATTTAATGTCGTTGGTTTTAAGGCAACTTAATCTGGGCGCATTTGTTGCACGTCTTCCAGTGATCTTCGTGTAATAACGTGATCGCCAATCTATTGTGCAGTCAGAATCAGACTGTTTGCTCCTTCTCACGCGCCTGCTTTTACCATGGTAATAACAAAAGCTTAAGGTGTTTCTGTTTATATTACAGTATCCCATTCTTTCAGGTGATTTTGGGACAACAGATTTACTTATATACTGTTGGAGGTTTTAGAACAACTTAATCTGGATGCCTTTGTTGCACATCTTTTAATGATCTCCGCGAAATAACGTGATCGCAATTCTATTGTGCAGCCTGAGGCCACGGCCCTCATGCCCTCCAGATTGCTGGTATTCACAGCTAGGTAAGTCACATATGGGTTTCATTGTTTTGCCAACCCAAGATAAAAGAACAGTATTGTAAGTCGATGGCCTTCGTGCGGTTCCCAAACTGTCCTGTGCCAAACGACTTATGTTAATAGCGCTGGTATTTGACCGAAGGACATTTTTATCTTTATCACAAATCAAAAAAACTGGGCCCAAACAGAGTCCTGTGTTCAATGTCACGTACAGACCACAGTTACCATCAAAAAATTTGTAAGGGCCAGGGATACTAACTGTGCAAAGCATATCCAAATCGTCCTTGTGGTTTCAAGATATGGTTATATATATATATAAAAAGGATATTAATTAGCAATTCGGCCATAAATTGGCCATTTCAAGCACAATCCTGAAGTCCTTTGGCATTCATGAAGTCCTTGCCATGGTAACATAGAATATGTAATAAAAAGGACGAAAGTCCTTCAAGGAGCTTAATAAAAGAGATATTTGCCTGGGAAGAAAGAAGGCTGTAGATCGACCGTATCATTGCGGATCACCATATCCTTTTGCCAGCTGATAGTCCTCATCCTCCCGATTCAGAATATACAATGAAAAGGACGAAAGTCCTTCAGACAGCCTAAATATGAGTACAATCATTTCGTAAATTAACAAAGCCATAACTCGGCCGTATCCTTGCGGATCCTGACAAGTCATGTGTCAAACCATTTCTATGAACAAGGACCATAAACTGGCCAAAGGATAATAAAATCGTCCTTGTCGTTTCCGAAATATGGCCAAATTTCTAAAAAGGACATTTTTTTAATGGCCATAACTCGGCCAAATCCTTAAGGATATAGGAAGGATATGCCTTTTTGAACTCGCGGGGAGCAGGACTATCGATTGGCATTCAAGGATTTCAAAGATTCGACAAAAAATTTCACCTAAATTTTTCCTAGGGGGTTAGTCGCAAAATTGGCTAAAATCGAAAAAATCCGGGCTAACTTGGCCATTTGAAGGACTAGCGATATGTGCTTTGGCCAGTAGATACTCCTCACCCTCCCATTCAAGAATTAACAACCCAAAGGACGAAAGTCCTTCAGACAAAAAAGTGTTAAGGACAATTTTGCTTACAGAAAATAGGCCATAGCTCGGCCGTATCCTTACATATCCTTGCGAGTCATGTGTCAAAAAAAGTGTATTAACTAGGACTACCAGCCGGCCAAATTTCATTAAGATCGTCCTTGTAGTTTTGGATATATTGAAGGATTTGTGTTTTCGCCTCGTTTTCGTGCGCGCCGCGACTGAAATTTTGCAAGTCAAAATACAAGTCATGTGACTCTTAGATGACCCCAATTTTTTTTGATGCAGATCGATGTAGTGGGTCTATACGATCCTAACGCACCATGTCCTTTGAAAATCTGCAAGGATATGACCGAGCTATGTCCTTTTTTCACTACATATAACGCTCTATACATTTTTCGCCTTTTTTAATTAAAATGTGTTTTTATCTTTTCAGACTGACAAATTAAGGACTACAATGAATTCCAAGGACCTCCATAGGTATTTTAAGTTTAAATAAGCTATAATTTTATTTATGCTCGTTTTGTACAATTTTAAGAGAAATAATTAAGAAAAATAGCATAAAAACAACAATTTTAAAAATGTAAACATAAATAAATCAAATATTTAAAGAAACTCCTGTTTTTTTATTCAAAAATATAAAAATCAACGGTCTTTACAAATCCATTGCATACCCGCCAGGGGCGTCTGTTGGCAACCGCTGGCTGCCGAGATTTTTCTAAAAATCTGCCAAAATACCAGGCGAACAGAAATCCCAGAAGGTCGACAATAAATATTTTTAGCTGCCGAAAAATTTCATTGCATACCCAAAAGGGGCGCCCTCGTCGCCGGCTGGGTCCCAAATTTTCACTAAAATTTCCTAAAAACACCAGGCGAACAGAAATGCCCAGAAGGTGGACGAGTTCTTAGAATATAAGACGACTGTTAAACAACAGCTGCAGCTGCAGGTAATGTAAAAGGGCTGCTGAAAGAAAAAGCATACATGTTTTTGGACCATTTCAATGCACATTTTGCAGGGATCTGATCCTTTAGGTTTTCAAGGACTATATCGATGGTATGGTATAACCAAGGATATGATAGTCAACTAGGAACCATTCATTAGGCGGGGCATACATATTTTTGGACCATGTTCTAGCGCATTTTGTGAGAACTCAGGCCTTTAGGTTCGCTAGGACTATATCCATGATATGGAATAATCAAGGCTATATAGGTCAACTATGTACCATGAATAGCGATCATTTGCTGATTATATGTTGTCCATAAGCGTGGTAGATTTGGCTGAAAAATACAAAATAAAAAATTTGTTAATTTAAAATACGTCCGATTTTTTAAAGACACACATTAAAGATTTCGCGAAAGCTTTGAAAATCGCACTATAAACTATGATTTTTTAGAGCAGGGCGGAAATATAAGACGAATTGAATTGTTTTTTTTTGGTTATCTCGGGTAAACAATGTCCGATTTAGGAATGTAATACCTTTTTGAACTCGAATCCCTACTAACGATTGGCATTGAAACAAATTAAAAATCAAAGGGTTAAATTTAAGTTTTTTGACAGAATCGGTAGCACTATTCAAAGCTAGATAACGCATAAGCAATTACATACAAGCACAAGATATCACTTGCGAAATCCAAACATGTGTTTGCAGAGATAATCGACAAAAATGTACATGCATATATGTATGTATATGACTGCTAGTGCAGGCAAATAGGTCAAAACAAGACATGACCATTTCTGTACACCGATTTCTATATATAAATATTATATTATATAATAAATTCATTAAGTTTTTGTCTGTCCGAGTTCAAAAAGGTATATTATTGAAAAAAAAAGGACGGTACTTGCCCTTACTAACATAATAAAAGGCTACTATCACTCACAGCATAACAGCATGAAAGATTGACTAATGAGGCCACACTAACATAGAATAAAGTTGCGCAGGTCCACAGCGCACAGAAAATAGAGCACGCAAACGACCAGGCGAGAACACGAACGCCAGCAATTATTGACTGGACCAATCAGCGATTAGCACCAAAAAGAATCGTGAGCGCGTGAGCGTAAGTAGAAAAATAACAGCGAACACACACACAAACAGGTGACTGCTTATCTCTGGCTTTGGCTCAGCTCTGTGGCTCATCTCTCACGTGTTTGTGTGGATGTGTATGCTGAACATTGTGGCGCATCGCTCACACTCGCATTTTGATCGCTTGCTTATTTTCTGTGCGCCGGTTTTTTCGTCCGCCTAAGTCACTCACAATTTAACAGTTTGTTAGTTTGACCTCAGTCGTCGATATAAACATGTTTTTATGAAAAGCTGCTGACTCGGGGCAGTCTGCCTTCTTAGGAATTTGTTTAAACAAAAAACGTATAACTTTACCTCCAGTTACAGTTTATGTGCTCAGATTAGGCTGAAAAATACGAAATGAAAAATGTATATGTTTTTGTAAACAAATATATGTCGATTAAATACCTTTAAGGATTCATGAAAGCCTGCAAAATCGACAGAACGCTACACATTTTGTTTTTAGAACTGATCGCGATTTGGCAAGAGCTTCAAATTTTTAAATTATCACGCGTCCTTCGGGTGACATGTGATTATCAATGATACGCAGGGTGTTGTCTATTGGCGACACAGCATGTTCAATGGGCCAGCCCAAGTGCATTTCTTCCAGCTTTATTTTGCCCTCGCGCGAAATGGGCTTCCAGTGTGACTTGTGCATGTGGTCGCCGATGGCAAAGGCCTTAGGCCTTTTCCGTCGACATTGGGAAAACGCTTAAAGGTGAATTTGATTAGGGCCTTCTTTATGTTGTATATTCGTGAAAGTATTCTGAGACCACGATCATTTAAAATAATGTACTTCTTAGCAATTTTTTGCTAAATGCAAAAAATTTGACATGCCATGGATTTCGACTCATACGTACATTCTGTAATAGATACAGGTAATTAACTTTTATAAGGAACGACAAACACGCCAATTAATGCCGGCGCACGTATTTTTAAAGTGAAAGATCTAAATACATACCATTATTTCAATTTCTTACATTTAACTTTGCTAATAAAACGTGACTATGATGAATATGCACTTTAAGACAGCGTGACCAAATCATTTTAACTAAAATATACCGATTTGTCAAAAATACCAACGTTTAGGCAGTATGACCAAATCATGAAAACAAAAACAGTCTAGTTTTTTCAAAATACCAAAGATTAGAAAGTGTGACCAAATCACTAAAACAAAATTATACTATATTTTCGAAAATACGAAATACCAAGAAGCAAAATACTAAAGCAATACTGCAGACATTCACGGTCTGTGCAATTGTTTTATCGATAGCCGGTAGCGGTGCATTCGATATGTACATGTTGCCATCAAATACATTTTGTACTTTCACATTTTATAGGTATATTCTATAACGCGCTTGATTTTGGCGAGGATGATTACCGCGTCTGCCCGGCGACAGCGATGTGATTTGGCCTGTGGACAAAGCTTGCCGGCTTACTCTGCAGGTGAATGACTGTGGGCCAGTACCTAATGCTTAGAGGCGATCGGGAAATTGGTTTTGAGCGGCCAGGTGAAACATAGCAACCTCTTCTGTTGGCGCTCAGAGACTCCGCTGATCTGCAAGACGGTCCGTCATTGTTTGCGCAGGTTGAACATACATATTTCCAAAAACTTATTGACCTGCAGCACGCCTGCAGCACTCAGACTTACTGGATTCCAAATTCTGTTAAGGTAAGCGTTGCGGCCTGATTAAATGAGGCCAGAGAATGGGCAGTAAGTAGATGTTTTGTTGTGCTGAATACTACTTAGATTGTGATTAAAATTTAATATTTTTGTAGATCTCAATCTGGCGCTCTCCTAATTGAGATGAAACAATTGTCATTGGCAGCATTAAACAATTGGCCGAGCTTTCAGGCGTGCAAGTGAATGATCTGCATCGTGAGACTATTAATAATTTTGAACTCTCATCAGTGGTTTCCGGAAATCCGCCTCTGATCGGATCAGCAAAAGAAAGTAAACGATCTTCAGGCAATTGATAAGAGTCTGAACGGCAAGCTACTTGTTTTGACTCGCAGCACGAATGTACTTAGTCAGGCACTGACCTTCGAGGAAAAAGTTTCAATTGAGCTTATTTACAATCTTCATTTTAGCGACAAGCGGATGCTGTTGCCAACAATGAAAGGATATTTTTTCAGTAGGATGTTCAAAAGGATTTTCACACTACAAAATTAAAAAGTCTAAAAATATATTGATATTGGGGTTTGCAAACCGCTGTGCAGAGACTCGTCATTAAAGAGACTATGTTCATATGAAGATTGCATAAAACCAATATACTCTTTTTCTATAGAAGGACACATCTCCAGCCCCATAAATTATATATATTCTAGGTCAACATCAACAGCCGATTTGACATAGCCATGTCCGTCTGTTTGTTTCTATCTATCTATGTTGCTTTCGTCTTGAAACTTTGCATAGGTGCGACTTTCTGTTGCAGGCACTACATGTGTCGGAACCGGCCGGATCGCACAAGTATATCATTTAGCTGTAATACGAACGATCGGACGAAAATAAGGTTCTTTAATGTTTATCAAGATATCTTGACCAAAATCGGCATTTCTAGTTTCACTATTGTGCTCATATATATGCAAATTATATCAACATCGGGCTGCTATATCATATAACTGACATAGGAAAGATCGGTCGGAGAGTAGGTTCTTATATGACAAAATATTCTGTTCTCCAAGAAATTTTCATCAAACTCAGTTCAGCTCCAGCTTCACTATGTTTAGACATCTGCAAAACCGTAAGTCAAATGTCTAACTCTTCGACCTGCCGAATATATCCTTACTGTCTCGGCTTACTTTGTGAACAGACAATAAATTTAGGGCAATTTGATTACTCGTAATGAGCTTGGTCAACTTGACCAAACTCAACAAATATGTATATATACTTTAAGCTCTATGTGGGTCAACAACCACTGTTGGTGCAGGGAACAAAGTTTCGATAATCAATTGAAGGGTTCCGTGTTCGATGGGGGAAAACGGTTTGTAAATGATTACATTTTAAATATTAACTGAAATCAATTACCCGACAGCTCAAGATAAGTTTATTCTTTTTTCTTAAAAGTTGCTTGAATGGGTTCAACCGGTTGTAGGTATGTGACAGCGCTTGTAGGGAAAGGGCGAATGGTAGGACTTACCCAGTAGCGTCTAATTTCGTAAGGAAATATGTTCCACTGTGTATGAGAGTGTGCTGAAAAATGGGTGGGAAATGTTTAGAAAAAAGCTGATTGCGCAGTATATATAAACTAAAATTTAAAAAGATAGTCAGAGCCGAGTTATACCAGATAAGTTTAAGTCTAAGGTAAAGACAACTTGTCGTTAGCAAATATAAACATATATAAAAAAAAATGTAAAACTATATAATCTTTTTACACGCAAATATATCTGAAAGATCAGATAAAATTCGAAAGATTTAATACTTACCTTTTTTAGAAACATTTATATAAAATGTAAAAAGTTCTCAATGTTTTTTTTTTTAATTTTTATTTTATTGAAATCGCTTTATTCGTTATATTATTAG